CACGGACGGCTCAGATTGCATCGCGATGAATGGCCCAGATTTAATCCAATTAAATCGCAATCGAATGATCCAGATTTAATTTGATGGACGGTTGAGATTAAAAGGCAAAGGGTATAAATAACCCCACCCACACTGACCACAAAAACCCTAGCCGCCAGTGCCTCGCCGGAGAAGAAGAACCAGACGCCGGAGGAGCCGGCCGCTGCCACCCGCCGTCGCACCGGGAAAGTTTCCGACCGCCGATCGAGGTAAATTTTCTCCCCTTTGCTCGTTTTTCGATGCTGAGTCCGCCTATAGCCAAACCACCGGCCAAACGGTCAAAAAACCTAGCCGAAGCCCAGCGGCGCCGCCGCGCCCCTCCTCGATTTTTGTCTCCGATGAGGCCCTTCCTGGCCTCCGTTCGATGCAAATTTTATACCACTGTGATCACCGTTCTTTTCTCTACAGGTTGATTGGAGCCAAATATCAAAACGCGACTCACGCTGGAGGAGCTGCCGCACCCGAGAGCACCGCCGCCGGTAAGTTTCAGTTTTTCGTGATTTTTTAGCCCACCGAGGGCCCTAGGGTTGTTTTATCGTAGGGACCGATGCAAGTGTGGCTGAATTCGGCCGAAAACGGCCAACCCGAGGCAAATCGCCGCTGCTTGCGCCGGAGCACGGCGGGAATTGCGATATTGGCCGAAATGGGCCCTAGGTTTGATTTGGAATTTTTTGGGACACGTGCAGGTACCGGTAGTGCATTTCAGTTTTTTGAAAAAAATTCAGAAAAATTAGGGACAGCTTGTAGGCGCACTGTAGAGCCGTATTCAGACCCCAAAATAAGTAAGGACCCCTCACCCTATTTCCTATCATGGTATTAAAGCTTAATAAATAATTAAACTGTACTGTGTGACTTTATAAATGTATAATTGATTAAGATTGCCAATGGAGCTCGAGTCTGATACATTGTTGGTCTGTTATTATTTGATTTAATTTCCAGTATTAAATGCAGCATGATGTTTGATGTAATTATGTTATGGTCTCGTATGCATGAACTATGTTTCTTTTATTATGATTTGTATTATGGTGAACCCGGTACTGTATTGTTTTATTTGGTGTTAATTACTAGTTTACATGTTTTGTATGATTGGATGATTGAGATTAAGGAAAAAAGCAAAAAGGTTATGTGAATTGATAAGTGGATAATGTAGACAACCTGACTAGATATCCTGGGAGATGGTGGACGAACCGAGTCCGTAGGGAACCCTACCGGGAACGTGGTCTCTCATACCGGATGGGATATGGAGACCTTATGTGTTTTGGCGCCCATACCAGACGGGGTATGGGGACGGCCTGTTTCACCTTCATACCGGACGGGGTATTGAGGTTCATGGTTTTGGCGCCCATACCGGACGGGGTATGGGGACGGCCCTGGAATCAGGTTGTAAATGTTAATGGTTCACGTATAGAGGGGACCCCCTATGGATCCCCAAGGATACTAGTAGGCTGGTAAAAGAAGAAATCTGTTTTCTGATGATTGAAATGTAAGGGTATGATATGTGTTATGTTATAAAGTGTGTATGATTTCATGATATTATAAGGTTATTATTTTCATATGTTGTTTTCATGGATCTCACCGAGGTAAGTGGACAGTAAAGGTTTTTATGTTAATAAACGAGTTCGTTATAAATTATGCTCAATTGATCATTTTTGTTTTCTACCCACCTTTACTTCCATGGCGGTGAGATAGTGTGATATCTTTACTGGGCTGGTGTAGCTCATTCCTTATTTAACCATTTCATATCAGGAAGATATTGTTCCCGAGCCCGTTCCGCAGGAAGACGGCGAAGGGGACGCCTAAAGACTCCATAGCTATATTTATAGTTCTTATCTCGAGTATCTCTTTTAGTTAATTTGTTCTTTCATGTTTTGAGTACGTTTTAGTTATTGTGTAAGGGATGCTAATCAAAATTTTTATTACGCTTCCGCATTTGACATTTTTAATACATATAATTCATTTAAATTTTCGGGGCTGTTACAGAAAGAAAGAAGAAAGTGATCACCAGTATGGTGAGCACATGGTTGTAATGCTAGCAACATTTTTAGAACATAAACCACATGGATACATCATCTGACTATTAGCATCTTTCTAACAGTATCACACATGTTGTTAGTAATAAAATATATTCAGAAAAAGTATAAAAATTTCGGTTGTACTTAATCAAAAAGTGGTACAAGAGCCAATTTGAAATTTTAAAATAGTACAATGTCCTTTTGATGTATTATTTCAAATTTAATATATTTTCATTATTATCTTAGTTTAATCGCTTGCTTTGTTGTACCTCAAAAATATTGATCCTATATTTTTGAGACTATTACACGTTTTAATATTTTATGATTCTCTTCCAACTCTTTTTTCACTTAAAAATTTTGTTTGTGTTATTTTTCTTTTGTTATATAAAAAAAATAATATCTTTTAGATTTAAAAGTTGTGCCTATCTTAGAGATTTAATATCTCATCTTGGTCATTATCTCTTTAACCCTGACATTGATTGTAATTATATTGAGAGATATGGAACTCTTGTGAATATTTTTTAATTTTCAAAAATTTTATTCCATGGCATGATTCCCTTGTCCCATACTCTCCTCTGCTAGCCGATGGCTTGTTGCTAAAATATTCTACTCTACTTATCTTGGTTGTGTTACAATTGATTGTTCAAATATTTTTCTGCCAAAATCTCTTCATTTTTTTGCTCTAATTCTAAGTATATTTAACCAGTTCTCTTATCATGTTTTACCATCATTTACCGTACATAACCTTATTTTTTTCTCATATATCCTACTATTTCTTCCCTGTTTTGGTGAAGTAGCCTCCTGTATATAAAAGCCTACCATCACCTAAAATCATATATCCCTCACATTGCTTCAAAGATTTATTTATTATCGATTCTTATCTCATTACTCCTTAACATACCATTCGATGCAACTTTGGATCAATCCACTAAAGAAATTTTTTTATAGATCTTACTTACATTGAACCACCTAATTTATCTGTAGATGAACTTACAACTTGTTTCACTAATGCTTTTAATTATAAGGTATAAAAAGTTATTATATATGAAAAAATTAAAACTCTTTCAAAATAAACTTTGGCTCGTTTTAATAATGGCAAAAGTAATGTGGGTTATAAGTGGTTTTTCAGGTTAAAGGAATGTTGAATGTGATATTGATTGTTATAAGGTGTTTTTTTTTATTACCGAAGGATTTAATTAATTTGATCTTGATAATGTTGAGATTTTTTATCCCTTAACAAGTTATCATCATGGATGAGCTTTATGCCAACTTGATGTCTCTATGCATTTTTACATGGCAATCTTGAAGTGGAATTCTAAATGTAACAACCCTTTTACTTTGTTAATCATGATTTTCCTCATTACTTTTATAGGTTATAGAAATACTTGTATGTTTATGAAATAAGTCCATATAGTCTAGTTCACTAGCCTTAACACTTATCTTCTCTCTTATGTTTCGTTC